GCCCGGCTAATTTTTATATTTTTAGTAGAGACGGGGTTTCACCGTGTTGGCCAGGCTGGTCTCGAACTCCTGACCTCAGGTGATCCACCCACCTTGGCCTCCCAAAGTGCTGGGATTACAGGTGTGAGCCACTGCGCCCGGCAGGAAAAAATTTTTTTTAAAAAAGAGACCGACATCAGTACATTACTATTAACTATATTCCAAGTCTTCATTTGGATTTTTTAGCAGTTTTTTCCACCAATTTTTTTTTTCTTTCTGTTAACGAGGCCTCTTAGAAGTGTTCACATTGCCAAGGCATGAGGCAATGTGTAACACAGTAGGTTGCTCAGAGTTGGGAATTGGGAACTGTATGTAATCCTTTCTATGGAAACTTGATAACTTGATAACTTGAGGAGGAGACCTGTAGTAAACACAGATTCTTTGGTCTGGACTGCTTCAGATTGCTTGGATGAATCATGGGATATTGCCCCAAACCTAGAGATACAGGAGTCTAGTCCCTCTCTACTACTAGGGGGACAATTCCTAAAACCAGCACGTAGAAACAAAATCTAAAATAGAAGATACAGTCTCTGTTGATACTCCAGCGGTCTTCCTTAGTGGAACAGGAGCATAATGTGGGTATTGTGTTTCCTGTTAGTCAAGAGTTTTGTGTATGTGTTGTTTTCCTTTGGAATGTCTTTCCATGCAGGCCTTAAAGGTAAAGCTGGAGATGAAAGAAGAAAGAGTCCGATTCCTAGAACAGCAAACCTTATGTAACAATCAAGTAAATGATTTAACAACAGCCCTTAAGGAAATGGAGCAGCTATTAGAAATGTAAGAAGCAGCAAGTGGCCAGATGGCTCCCTCTTGGGCATAAACTCTCAGAGGAAGCCACTTAGGATATCATCTTGGCCATGATCTTCTGGGACTCACCATCTCCAGAATGAAAGCAATTTCTACAGTAGAATTAAGGACAGTTTATGCTGAAATGGCAATTCCTCATTTAAGCAAGTTTTCCCAACTTTCAGGTTGGTCAGCCCTCCTGAGCCTCACAGGTGGATAATTGAGGCCTACAAGAGAGGGAGGCCTAGGAGCTTGGATTGACCTTCTAGTCAACCACCTGATTCCAGCACACCATTATAATCCAGAGACTAAACCAACAACCAGAGGATCTAAAAGGTCACATTCAGATTTTCAGGAAGAAAATCTTCATTACAGTAGAGCACAAGTGTTCCGTACAAGACCATTGAGGAGCCATGCTGTCCCCTTCCAACCCGGAACACATTCTGTCCCATCCTGGTTGGGCTTCTGTACCTCCTTATTAATTTATGAACCTGAAGTTGCTTGGAGTGTTTTGGGCTTAATAAATGGGGTGAAAATATAGGTAGCAGTAACACCTACATGAAACAATACACCTTGGAGCTTTAAATTACTTTTTTTTTTTAAGTCTACTTTTAAAATAAATACTTCTGTAAATATTCTGACTGTAACACTGAGGAATGAAAATAACCTTTTAACCTAGATATGTTAGTTGATCATTATTGAACTAATTTAGTTAACAAGTCCAAGATATTCTGACTTAATCTAGAATATTTTTCTGCTACTCTTTAAGAGCCCTGTGGCTAGTCCCTCTGTCTCCCAAGAGCATTGGCTCGTCTCCTTTGGGTGCTGCCCATTTGTAGCAGTGGTTTCACCAGGTCTGTGGCCACTTGCTGCCTGTGTTCTCCCTGCACTTTTTTTTTTTTTTTGAGACAGAGCCTCACTCTGTCACCTAGGCTGGAGTGCAGTGACGTGATCTCGGCTCACTGCAACCTCCTCCTCCCAGGTCAAGCAATTCTCCTGCCTCAGCCTCCCGAGTAGCTGTGACTACAGGGACGTGCCACCACGCCTGGCTAATTTTTAAGAGACAGGGTTTCACCATGTTAGCCAGGATGGTGTCGTCTCCTGACCTCATGATCCGCCCACCCTGACCTCCCAAAGTGCTGGGGTTACAGGTGTGAGCCACCGCAACCGGCCTTTTTTTTTTTTTTTTTTTTTTTTTTTTTTGAGACAGTCTCGCTTACTCTATTGCCCAGTACAGTAGTGTGATCTCTGCTTACCACTACCTCCACTGCCTGGGTTCAAGCGATTCGCCTGCCTCAGCCTCCTGAGTTGCTGGGATTACAGGCGCCCCATCCCCTTACCATGCCCAGCTAATTTTTGTATTTTTAATAGAGGCGGGGTTTCCCCATGTTGGCCAACTCCTAACCTCACGTGATCCGCCTGCCTCAGACTCCCAAAGTGCTGAGGCCAGGCGTAAGCCACCATACCCTGCCATTTTTGTATTTTAAATAGAGTCGGGTGGAGTTTTGCCCAGTTGGCCACTCTGGCCTCAAACTCCTGACCTCTAGTAACCCACCTGCCTCAGCCTCCCAAACTGCTGGGATTACAGGTGCGAGCCACTGCACCCAGCCCTCCCTGCACTCTTAAGCATGATTATCTGCCTGCTGTTTACTTTGTACAGCCAATCCTAGGCCTGGTCCCATAGATCCTTGAGTCCATGGCCTGAAGTCCATGACAGGCTTCCCCACTGGTTTACCAAAGACATGGCCAAATTTTTTTCTTAACCAAACGAGGCTGACTTTGGCCATCTCCTGTTCTTTCTGCACCTCCTAATTTCTTCACCAAACCCTCCCACCCCCACCCTTCAGCATCTTTAAGGCTGCCCAGAGACACCCAGTGAAGCCAGTAACACTCCAACCCGGGCTTAAAGGGCCACAATTGTTTGCTTTCTCATACAGAGTTCACAAAGTTGGTTATGTTTCAAATATTTTGAGCCTATCCACTAAAAACTGGTCTTTGTCAAATTCTCAAACTAAATTGATACCAGTAAAACTGGTATGAACAGGCTGGGTGCCGGTGGCTCACGTGAGCCTGTAATCCTGGTACTTTGGGAGGCTGAGGTGGGTGGATCATGATGTCGAGTTCGAGATCAGCCTGACCATCATGGTGAAACCCTGTCTCTGCTAGAAATTCCAAAATTAGCTGGGTGTCGTGGCGGGCACCTGTAGTCCCAGCTACTCAGGAGGCTGAGGGAGGAGAATCTCTTGAACCTGGAAGGCAGAGGTTGCAGTGAGTCGAGATGGTGCCATTGCACTCCAGCCTGGGCAACACAGCAAGACTCCGTCTCAAAAAAAAAAAAAGTATGAATAAACTAAGTTCATACCAATAATGCCTGTCTTGCTGGGTTGTTATAAAAGAGAATTATGTCCAGTACCTAACCCAGTGCCTGGCAAAGGTACTCACATCCTGGTGGTGATATTATTAAAGTTTAAAACTTATCCTGGCAAAAGATTCCCTTCATAAACTTGCCCCAAACTTCAATTCCAGTGTCCCCTTCTCCCCACTCCAAAACACAGTTGCTGATCTTACCATGCCTTTGCAGGCCTCAATTATTCAACTTCCTTCTGACCTGGGAACTCTCAACTTTGACTCTTAAGTTCAAATTACAACCTTCTTAAAACGTAAAGCCAAAACCCCACCCTCATCCCCTCCATCTACCACATACACTATATTCACAGCCAAATGTCTCAAGAAGCTGTTTCCTTACCATTTTCTTTCTCTGTCATTCTGGCTTCAAAGTACCTAGGAACACTAATGTTATGTAGCTACATTAGGCAGATCCATCCAAAGTAGAATATAGATTACCAAGGACTGAGCAGGAGGGGAAGGGAGTTTCTCTTTGGGATGATAAAGTTCTGGAAATGGAAAGTGGTGGTGGTTGCAAGGCATTCTACATATACCTAATGCCACTGAATTGTACGCTTTAAAATGGTTGAGGCCGGGCGCGGTGCCTCACGCCTGTAATCCCAGCACTTTGGGAAGCCAAGGCGAGTGGATCACCTGAGTCAGGAGTTCGAGCAGCCTGGCCAACATGGGGAAACCCTGTCTCTACTAAAAATACAAAAATTAGCTGGGTGTGGTGGCATGTGCCTGTAGTCCCAGCTACTTGGCCAGCTGAGGCAGGAGAATCGCTTGAACCCGGGAGGTGGAGGTTGCAGTGAGCCGAGATCACACCACTGCACTCCAGCCTGGGTGACAGAGCGAGACTCCATTAAAAAATAAATAAAATTGGTTGAGGCCAGGTGCAGTGACTGACACCTGTATTCCCAGCACTTCGGGAGGTCGAGGCGGGCAGATCACCTGAGGTCAGGAGTTCGAGGCCAGTCTGGCCAACATGGTGAAATCCCCTTTCTACTAAAAACACAAAAATTAGCCGGGCGTGGTGGTAGGCGCCTGTAATCCCAGCTACTCAGGAGGCTGAGGCAGGAGGATCGCTTGAACCTGGGAGGCGGAGGTTGCAGTGAGCCAAGATCGCACCATGACACTCCAGCCTGGGTGACAAGAGCAAGGCTCTATCTCTAAATTAATTAATTAATTAATTAAATTGTTGAAATGGCAAACTTTTACCAGATTTTTTTTTTTAATTTGAGGCTTAAAGTGCACTAACCTTAAGTGTACAGGTTCATAAGTTACTGTCACTGTTGTGGAAGTGAGCACTACTCTACAAAATCACCATCCATTAGTATTGTCCTTCCATGAATTTCATATAAATGGACTCACAGTATACACTTTTTTTGAGAGAGAGAGAGAGGGTCTCTGTCATCCAGGCTGGAGTGCAGTGGTGCCATCTTGGCTCACTGCAGCCTCGACCTCCCGGGCTCAAGTGATCCTCCTACCTCAGCTCCCCAAGTAGCTGGGACTACAGGGGCACACCACCAAACCCAGCTAATTTTTGTATATTTTTTGTAGAGATAAGGTCTTGCCATGTTACCCAGGCTGTTCTCAAACACCTCAGCTCATATGATCCGCCTGCCTTGGCCTCCCAAAGTGCTGGGATTACAGGCATGAGCCACCAAGCCCAGCTCCCTTTTTTTTTTTTTTTTTTTTTTAAAGAGACAGTTTTAGACCAGAAGTTCTTGACCAGCCTGGGCAACACGGTGATACTCCTGACTCAAAAAAAAAAAAGACAGCATCTTGCTCTGTTGCCCAGGCTGGAGTTCAGAGGCACAATAATAGCTCACTGTAACCTCGAATTTCTGGGCTCAGCCAACTGAGTAGCTAGTACTACAGGTGAATGCCACCACACCTGGCTAATTTTTTAAATTTTTGTAGAGATGGGGGGCTCTCACTGTGTTGCCCAGGCTGATCTTGAACTCCTGGCCTCCCAGAGTGCTGGGATTACAGGTTTGAGCCACTGCACCCAGCCAAGTATGTACTCTTGTGTTTGGTTTCTTTAGCTCAACGTGTCTCTATAATTTGTATGGTTGAATGTATCAGTATTCTCTGGCTAGTGGACATTTGTTTCTGGTTTTAGGCTATTGATAAAACTGCACTGGTTTCTCTGGGATAGAGACCCAAGAATAGAACTGCTGAGTCATAGGGTAAGCAACTCAGTTTTCCAAAATAAATGTACCGTTTATACCACCACAACAATGTATGAGAGTTGGAGATTTAGTCAGTCTTTTTTGAAATACATATTTTGGCCAGACACAGTGGCTCATGCCTGTAATCCCAGCACTTTGGAAGACTGGGGCTGGAGAAGTACTTGAGCTCAGGAGTTCAAGACCAGCCTGGGCAACACAGCAAGACCTCTTCTCTACCAAAAAATTTTTTAAATAGCCAGATGCGATGGTGCACACCTGTAGTCCCAGCTACTCTGGAGGCTTAGGTGAGGGGATCGCTTGACCAGGGAGAAGGAGGCTGCAGTGAGCTGTGATGGCTCCACGGTGTTGGTGGTGGACTGATTCAAGTTCTTGACTTTGGTGCACAAAAGAATTTGAGAGTAATTCTCCACCCCGGGGAGTGTTTTTACTGTTAAAATGAGTATAGGTCAGCCTAAAGACACTGACCAAGGGTTTCTGTGCCTGTGCAAGCTGGAGGATTTGTCCCCTTTTGCTCTTTTGCCTCCTTGCAGCAGGATGTTCTGACCACGAGTTCCTGAGGCGGGTTGTGCAGCATCCAGCCGTTCTCTCCATCTGTCTGTTTGGCAAGTATCTTGTTCCCCTTTAAGTGAGGCTGTGACCATCCTACCTGATCTACCTCAACTGCACTCCAGCCTAGGCTACAGAGTGAGACCCTGTATCAAAAGATAATAGTGTATATATTTGGGAATAATTTTAGATTTACGGAAAAGTTGCAAAGATAGTCCAGAGAGTTCCCATATACCCCTTCCCCAGCTTCCCCTAATGTTAACATCTTACAATACCATGACACATTTGTCAAAACTAAGAAACCAGCATCAGTAAATCAATATTAACTAAACTCTGGGCTTTATTTGGATTTCATTGGTTTGTCTACTAATGTAGTTTTTGGGTTCTAGGATCACATCCAGGATGCCATATTGTATTTTGTCATTAGTTATTATGTCTCCTTAGTCTCCCCTGGTCAATGACAGTTTCTCAGTCTTTTTCTGTTTTTCATGACCTTGACAGTTTCAAGGAGTAGCAGTCAGATATTTTGTAGAATATCCCTCAATTTGG